AGATTATTCCATTTATGATCTCTGAGAGCGCTGAGTTTGCTAACCCCACCTACAAATTCACTTTAGCAGAAAGAAAGACACACCTGAACAAATGTAAATGTTAAGCAACCCGACCTTGACCTTGGAACAGCACATTACTGATACCACAGTAAACTGTTGCTGTTTTAGTTGAGTTAATGAGTGCAATTTCTAGGCTCGATCAAACAGAGTGAGAACGTGGGTGACAGAGCTGAAGTGAGATGAGATGGAGTGAGAGAGCAAAGACACGCGCTCACTCTTGATTTCCCTGAGGGTAAACAGAGACATAGAGCGAAATGTCTGCAGGAGAAGAGATATTCTGAAAGAAATGCTGTCTGCAAGTATAGGCAGTGGAGAGATTTTGTGCTGCTCTCTATTTTTAATACTTTCTGTCAGAAACTGCTTACAATACCCAGGAGAGTCACTAGGGATATCTCACTGGAGCAACTAACTATTAATTCTACTTTAGGTTAGTGCATGTTCCTGTAGGGTTTTTTTTTTTTTTTTTTCCCCCCCTTATAAGCATGCAACTAGTAAATGCAGCAATTCAAGAGTTCTTTGATTGCTTGCAGCAGATATTAGGCAACACACTCAGAGTTACACTCCAAAACCTGCTGTGTGCAGGCCTGGTCCGTGCTGCTGGCATCCAACCAAACCAAGTGGACTGGTTTAATTCACGCCACAAGACTAAGCAGAAATCTTTGCCTTAACTGGCAATACCGGCCAAAGCACTGCAGGGGAATATCGCATGGTGATGAGAAACCCCGAGACTCTGAAGCAGCAGCAGCTCAGTCGGTGACAGTGACCTGAGAGCAATCTTCTGGTGTGTAGGACACAAAAAAATAAACCTTTTTTTCAGTTCGTAGCCTTTAGAAAACAAGGAGCTCTTCTGTTCAAGCCTGAAAAGACCTAAACAACAACTGAAATAGCCCGTGAGTTAAAAATGGCTAGACAGTGAAGAAAATACTATAAAAAGTTATTAAAAAAAATGCTTCCATCTTTTTCATTTTTGTTTGTTTTTCATAGAGTCCAAAAAAGACAGCGTGGAGAACACACAGCAAAGTTGCATTGAACAGAATGCAAAAAAAAAAAAAAAGGCTGAACACATTGAACCTTTTTGGCTTTCTAATTGAATCACTTTCTTCTTTTGCCTCAAATTGCATCTGACACTCACTTAGATTAATCTGATAGATTGCAGATGTGTATCCAGGGCTGTAGATGTAATTGACATGTGCTAATAATATAATCATATTTGTCTGAAGAATCTGCATCTAAGGGCATTTCTAACTTTTGTGACCTCTAAGTCATTTGTTTCATGGTTCAAATTTGTCTTTTTCACTTCTCAGGGCCACTGGTTAGGCTAGAACTGTCATTGAGTAATATGAAATTGTGCTTTATTTCTTTTTCATATCATTTTTAGTGAGTTTAAGAATGTTCACATTAATAAAAATCTAAATTTCTTTGAGTATAGTTATCAAAGATTGTCATTCTGTCTCTAAAATACATTGTTTTTCTTCATCACTGTAAAACTTACTTATACTTATTGGTAGCCTGTGCTACTAATATTGCTTTAAGTGAATTTATGTAGAGCTGGAAAAATTTGTAATTCACTGATTTTAATTTTTAATGATTATTTTGTATGATAGCATTAGATTTTTCTCCATGCTAAAAAGAATCCTCTTATATATATATATATGTATAAATGATATGCTTTTTTTCTCTCTGCTAAAGCAAGAACATGTGTATTCCTTTTCTCTTTTATGCACAAAGAGACTGTGGCTCTAGGCTGTATTTTTCACATGGGGTACCACCACTTTGGAGATTTTCTTTACCTAAGAGTTTTCAATCCTCAGATTTATCTGCCTGTCATATTTCCTGTTGGGTCATGGTCAGGTTTCGTGAGGTGATTGACTTATTGACATAAGGGACCAACATCTTGATCAGATAGCTTGCTCTGTCTTTCAAAATCATTGTTTGCGGAGTTCGCTTTTGTTTTACATTGGCAGATCAGGCTTTTTTTGCTGTTACGAGTTGAAATAAGGCTCTATAAGGAGATTAGCTGCCCTCAAAATGTTCATTTTTATTCTCTCTCTGCATGAGGAAGATACTCAAATTTTATGTGATTTTTTTCTGGCTCATTGGTATGATTTTTTCTCAGAGTAGCAGTCATGCACAAGAACCAAGCTGCTTCAGAGGTACTCCTGGTTTTATACTTTTTTTCTGCTATAGAGCTACAGGGGCTTTCATTTGCTCCCCAAGACCAAAAAATACAACTCTCTGCGGGCAACTGAGGGTGTTAATGTTAAACATTAAAAAAGTTACCAGCTCTCTATGTGATATACAGGAGAGATGCATACTGAAGCTGTACATTTTTTCCCAAATGTTATTTCCGTGATTTGGGATGTTTGACACTGGCTGTGTTTATACAGCCACACACAAAAAGCGGGGAATCAAAATGGTCATTTTAGGCAACTTGTACTGGGGTTTTACCAAGCTTCAAGAACACTTTAAGGACAGCTTCTTTCACAATTTGTAGTCTTTGTATATAACATCATAGCAAGATCATAGACTAAATCATGACTGTTTGCCCTGGGTTAATGACTATGAGGAACGGTATTCCATCCAAGCAGTTTCTGCAATTAATCTTTCTTTCATAGGAAGCCACTTTTTGCTCGTGAAGGCATGGATCAGATACGTGTATGAAGCTTTGATATTAAGGCATGAGGTTGACATAAACTTTTTGCAGTGGCTTCGAATAACCACTGAAATAGCACTGAAAAAATAAATATGCTGCATGCTTGACTTTCTTTTTTTTTTTTCTCCAGTACTTCCATTAGTACTTTATAGGTCCTCCAAACTGTGCCACAGTACTACAGTTAAATTCATTTTTCCTTCTATGTACAGGGAAACAGGCCATAGCTGTGAAGCTGTGAACTATCTCAGGTATTCCTGAAATACTATGAGTTCTCAGATTCCTGAGAACTTTGATGAGGAACTGCTGTTGGTGCACAGGACTGTTCTTACGAGGTGGTCCAGGGAGAGCAATCATCCATTTAGTGCTTCCATTCCTTCTGGTTACCAGAAAGAACATTTGCCATCTTCCTCTAGTTTGTGTTACCAAATAAAGAGTTCAACTCTTTCAGCTCTACCAGGCATTTAAAGAAGATCTTTGTCAGCACACTCCCCTTCAAAATAGTAATTCATCAAGTACAGCCTGTAATGGCAAGAAAGCATTTGAATTAAAAAGACCATGTAAGTCTGTATCTTAAATAGAACTATGTAGAAAATTTTAAATAACATTTATAGGCAATTACTTGTTGATTCAAAATGACAGTACATGTACATCATGAATATTGCTCTCTAATTACTTTGAACAATTCATCAAGCATCAATTAGAGTGCATTTGGCACACCTCTTGGGCATACGTACAACCCTTTTCTCTTAACTGCTGCTTGATGGACTGAGCAGTTTGCATATGCTGTCTGAGGCAACCGTGTTCAGCAGCACAAGGCAGTGCTTCAGAAGCCTTCAAAAGAAATCTCATCTGTTGTCTGTATACATAATCCCTGGCTCCCACGAACGGTACTTTCTCATTTTTTTCAGTTTCCAGGACCTGCATTCTAAGCCCACAGTATATAAATTCTGGGTTGGTTTTGTTTTGTTTTGTTTTAAAGCCATTAGATTGAGGTGTATGTATATGCATGTATACATATATTCTTGTAAATATCTCTATATAAGAAGATATCCATTCTTTATCCTTCTGTGGCACTGGTAGACTCAAGCAATAGAGGTAGATCTGCACCCTACTGCTGTCTTGTGCTTCAGATAGTTATCTGTGCATTAAATAGATTGAAGAGCCAAGAGAAGGACTTTGCATTGGTTACTCAATACATTTCATCCAAGATAGTTATCAGATACAAGACTATAAGAAGCCAAGATAATGTGCAATAAAATATACTTGGAGCTTGGCAAAATAGTGTTAATCATTCAGCACTCTGTAATTCTCTCTGTATTCTTTCTGGAAATATAAATATGAAATAATTAATCCCCACAACCTCTCAGCCAGTTCACTGTCATTATTTCCACTTTATAGATAAACTGTGGAGCAGAATAATTAAATGCTTTGGTTAAGGTCACACAGCAAGTCTGCTGAAGATGTGAAAATAGAATCAAAGTCTGCTGATTCTTGGTTTATGTGCTAACAACAGAACAATCTTTGCAACATCACTCTCACTCATGACACATCTCATGCATAGTCTAAATTAGAAGCATCATTAACAAGTGAGTTAATTACCTTCTCTCCTTTAAAACTGCTGATTTTAATAGTGAACATATCCAAGCAGTTATCTCATGCTATTGCAATGAGAAAAATCTAAATACAAATCTGAAAATAACTACGCTGTTTCCTCATGTTCTAGTGGTGTAAATAACAGATAGCACGCACAGAAACTTTATTAAGACAAAGATTAACAAATATAGGGAGTTAATTGAATTCATTTTTCAAATCCGTGAAAGCCCTTAAAGACTGACATTTCCATTCTTCCTTTTTCTTTATTTCCCCATGACATTTTAATCAAAGGCTGCTATGAAAATTAAGGCATTGTTTGAACCACTGAAAGCATTGCCATTTTCTAGAAAAATGAGAGGATAGTTTTTAAAAGCACTTTACTTTTTTTGACCTAGTCTTGTGACTTAAAGTATGATTTTGCAAGATCAGGTTAACATTTCTTTTGTTTGTGGATTTGGAGCCAGGATTTACATCTTCTTCAGGCTCTCAAGTAAAGCTGCTGTATTCTGGAATGCATCGCAGAGTAAGGATGCTTCTCCCCACAGTCACAGTTGGGTTCTGCTGCAGCAATCAAGTATGGGACACAGACCTTATTTGCTGAATGTGTCCTCAGTTGTTAGGTCTGCTCTTGTCTATGAGATAGGAAACCAAATCAAAACAGAAGGGATTTGAATTTGATTCTCCTGTTTTCCAGATGAGTGTTACGGCCAGCTGCTCATTGCATCCCCGACCTTCCAAGCCAGAAAGGACTGACCTTGCTTCATACATCTGCCTCCAAAAGAGGATTAATGACTACAACCCAACCTAAAAGGAAGTGCCATCAGTAAGGAGAAAGAAGCATTTACTCCTTTAGATGTATATCTTATGATGAACTGAATTATTTACTGATATGTCTCTCTCCCCTTTAATATTAGAAGAAGATTATGCAACTATCTTAGAATAAATATATAACTTTCAGGAGAGGGAATCTCAGTTAAAATGCTAAGTGAGGTTTGAAAATGGTGATAGCTTTCTAAAGTATATAGGTGATATGTGCTTTTGAAAATCATCCCCTTATTTCTATCACAAATAGAACTCTATGCACTTCTTTGAGTACATTGTAAACTTTGAACCTTGCAGAATTTTGCATCATACTCTACAAGCTGAATTCCATATTTATAACTTTCAAGGAAGGATTATGTGAGTAAGTTAAAATTTAGAACCATAGTTCAAATTACAGCCATTTTCTAAACCATTAGGATGTAATAAACAAGGGTTTTTAATGTGGTTATCATTATGCAATGCAAATTGTAAAGTCTGACTATTTTTCTGTGTGGAGTGCCATTAAAATTCATTGCATTTAATTTATAGTCTAAAAATCAGAGGTTTGCTAACATTCCCCATAAAAAACAGTTATAAAATACTATGCAAAATGCAGTTTTCAAATAGAACTAGGAAGCTTGAGAAAGCTAATTTTATGTATGAGTTTCTTAAAAAAAAAACTTGCAAATCTTTAATATTTAATTTTCTGGTTGTCACAACATTTTTTTTTCCTTTTTAAAGCTCCAGCATAGAATAGTGTCTGAAAGAAAAAAGAAAAAGAAATTAGGCACTTTACTCATCTTTATTATGTCTAAGTTTATGAAACAATGTTAGTAATCTATGAAGATTGTTTAATTACAGATTTGCAAAGGCCAATTTCAAAGTCACCTGTGCTCACTGCTGTAAGTCACATGCCATTAATAAAGAATAGCTCTGAATCGGAAATCGGGTTCTGGAGAAAAGAACTAAGGAAGCTGGGACATTTGCATGGGGGATAGTAGGATCAGTCACCACTAGATAATGTTCTATAAAATATTTCATTATTATTTTGTCTTAAATAGCAACATATAGCAATATGTGTGACATAACACAATGGAATAACATGTAGGAAGTATGTAACATATGACACAGCTCCCTAAGTATATGAATTTACCTAATGCTTCAGTGTGTCACAGTCTGATGGGGATGTGCTGTTGAGATCCATGCTAGGTAAGAAACCATTGAATCAGCACTGAAAGTAAGGAACTGATGACAGAGACTGTTAATTCTTAAAGAGCATTTTTTTAATAGAAAATTTATTGTCTTTACACTATGGTCCTAAGCATAGTGTATATACAGAAGAGAAAATGTAAAGACCATAGCGGTACTGTGCATCAGCTCAGAGTGTATTTGCATACTCTGTTTTTCCTCTGTATCCATCATTTATCTATTCTTTCCATCATCTTGAGACTAAGAAACATATCTTGCATGCGTTCAAGTCAAGCCAGGATAGAGGTTCATTTAACCAATCTAAAGAGCTTGGTGTTCATCAAAGAAAGTGTATGGCCGTCTTTCAGATGGTCACATCTCACTCATCTTACTCACAATTTACTGTGAGAGCTCACTTATGTGGTCATTATGTGGCCAAAATTGAAATGTCATTGTCCTTTTGAGCAAATTAATGGCATTTTTAAGGAGCTATTGTTTGTAAGGACTGTCACAACATCAATGCTGTATAAGATCTGAGAAAATCATCTCACTGAATCATAAACCGTATAAATGCAGACAGTGATGCAACTACTCTGACCATAATCAAGAAGCAAGACAGCTGTGCTCTGAGCTGTATACAAGGGCATCAGCATGGCCAGCCCTTCCTAAGTCATTCTGAAAGGTTGGGTTCATTAATCTGTTGACACTGACCTATCAGTGGTACAAATCAGAGGTTTTTTTTCTGCAATAAATATAACCTACTTCTTATACATGACATGAAACTGCTATTAACAAGTAAATTGATAGACCGTATTTCACTTCTTATTTCTGAAATTTGCTGGATATGTTTAGTGCTAATCTGCAAATCCAAAGCAACCACAAGTCTTGATTACTGTCTTAGAGAATTCAATCAGTACAAAGGAACCAGTCTTAGTTTTATTTCCATACATGCTTTCATTAGCACATTTCAGAATGTTTAATGAAGAAGAGGAGTATCTTTAACTCTATTTTACATTTGAGAAAACTAATTCAGATAGGTTTTGCTTCCCAGTTTCATTGTCATGGTTCCCACAGCTGAAGCAAATGGCACTGAATTTTTGAGTATCCTCCTAATTGGTCATTTTCTGTCAAAACTACCATCATAATTTTTACACTAGTCTAAAGTGTGCTTTTCTGTGTAAGGGATGAAATGATATCTTAACTCAATTAAGGAATATATACTAAGATAAACATCTCCTTTTTGGTCTAGAGGGAGAACTTTATTTATACAAAATAAATCCTTTGTTCATAGCAAAATTAAACACCAACCCAGTCAGTATGTTTTCCAAAGATATTCTGAAGGAATGAGGCTTGTTTACAGTTTGGCCAGACAACAACTCTGCCTAAGTCCCAGCAATATCAGCATTTTCAAACTTATGCTGTAGCAGCCAGCAGTCCTTTGGGAGCAATGTTAAAAACTGACATCTCAATTAAATATTAAGTTTGAGAATCACAAGAAGTTCTACGAAGGAGGCTAGAATGTGCATGGGGAATATATGTGCATTTGAGAAGGGTTGTTGCAGAGCAGCATCCAATTCAGTACAAATAGTCCCCTGGGTGAGGGTCTTGTCTAAGAACAGCGCCGAATCTGCAAGTATCCTGGCAAATTTTTAGTTGGATGAAATGAAGAGAGAAATGATTTTAGCATAAATAAAGAATTATAATAAATAAATAAATATAAGAAATAAGTAAAGGAAATAAATAAATAAAGGAAAAAGTTTTTTTTTTTTCATTTCAGTGAATCTTTCCCTAAAACGGGAATAAGTTTTATAATCTTCACACTATCACAAAATAAATTCGTTGTTCATCTTTTTTCTTTTTGAAGCAAAGGGGACAGTGAACTTAGATCTGTTGAGTTGCACAGGCATTGCTTTCTGTACGAAATGGCCATCCTGCACAGGGAATGGTATATTCTTCTCAGGGAAGTGATAAATCCTAGCAGAAGTCCTAGGTTCTTCCCATTATCTGACATCTTGGCTTACTCAAGAGAGCACAGTGTGCTCCACCACTAATGTTTATGGATTAGTCTGGGAAAGAAAAAAAAAAGGAGAAAAGTGCAGAAGTAGCTCACAGCATGCATTAACGAGTATAACTGAAGCATGCAGCAGAATAGCCACTAGAGTGTCCAATCAATGGCAAATTTCTCAAACTTCCAGAAGTCATTCTGTGACAGTAATGGAGCTAGAACAGTTCAAGCCAACACAAGAGGAGAGGAGAGGAGAGGAGAGGAGAGGAGAGGAGAGGAGAGGAGAGGAGAGGAGAGACTATTTAAAGGCCCCAACATTTAAAGTCCTCTGTCTTGAGAGAGGAAGAACTGAGCTCTGTGTGCTACACTGACAGCACCAAACATGAAATACTCGAGCTGCATTCCTATAATATGATTTATTATAATTAGTATTTTTTTTTCAATCTTAACCTTAAGGGTACACTGGGTTACCTTTTCAAGCTTCATTCTCCAAGTATGATTCCTAGAAGTGTATTTCTTTGGGAAAATTGAAACTCTGGTTCCTTTGCATCCACATGTACGTTGGACCCTAAGGTCCAACGCGCTTGAATAAAAAACAGCTGGTGAAAAAATACCTAAGTCTATAATGCATTAATTAGTTTGTGTGAGTTCATATGTCTGCATGCAAGTATATGGGGAAGATATAAACAGGCATGAATGATGTGTTTTGACCTCATCACAATTCAGACTTCTGTGATTCCAGGGGTGAGGCACACTGCACCTGGTAATTCTCAGCAATATTTAAGGGTTCCTCAATAGCTATTTAAGCCAGAGTAGGTCACAGAGTGACATCTACTTTCCTGCTTGCTTAGCTGTTCAGATCTCAGTTCTTCAGTGTATTTGCGATGCTGAAAAAGCTGGGATTATTTCGAGATGTTGTTGTGCTGCTTGATTGCCATAATCAGAGACATTTTGATTGGAAATGGGCAAGATGAGTCACAAAGGACAATGTAGATGCAATTAGGATGCTGAAACGACAGTGACAGAGTGTTGGGTGAGCTGTAGGAATGGCATTCAAATACTCTTTGTTTTATACTCTGTATTTACAATGGAAATATACCTCCAGGCTTCTGATGTAGAGTAGCAGAAATCCACCACCATTAATATGGGGAAAGTGGTGCTTAGTATGCAGGGGCTGGCAGCAGCTTTCACAGGTGCAAGCTAAAATGCAGAGAGCTGAGGATTGCGAACCAGAAAGGCCCGTATCTGTAACGCATCCTTTTACACTTAGAAGAAACTGCATCTATAGCCTTTCGTCAGTCCTTCTTTTGGGATTATTCTGCTGCGAAAGCATTTCCATTATAAATTGAAAGACTGAGGTATAGGAATTGTCTTCGCTATGTTTTTTTGTCTAACAGGCCTGGGTTTGCTATATCTAGGTGATATTCTCCTCGGTAGCTACCACGGGATTGATTTTAGTGTTCTGTGTTTTATATCATTCTTTGTTTTCAATTAATTAATCAGACAGATGTTTCACCTAGAAGCATCGGTGACCTGGATCCTACAGATATTTTTAATCTGGAATGTCACTGCTTCTGGGGAAACCAGGAGCGGCTCTGAAATAATGAGCAGAGTGAGGCTGATATGAAATGCATCCGTAAGAAAGCAGTCTTCAGGAAATGTCAGGGATGTAGTCTATTCATACCCTGTCTGCCAGAAAGTGACTGTAGCATTCTTAATCATGCATACACTTGCAGTCCCAGAAATTAATTCTGTATAATAAATAAAGCAGTAAGCCCACAGTTCTTCAAATCTGAACCCATTTTAATAATAGCTTGAACAGACAAAAC